TATAAATATAGACATTTGGTAGATACTTCTTTCTTACCATTCTTTTGAAGGGAAAGAGGAAGAAAGAGGATTCAATGTCTTTAACAAAGGACTATTCAGATTTTTCATTTATTCTTGCAATAGTTTTTTCAAATATTGTAATCTTAAAGGAGTTTACCCATTTAATTTAGTGGCTGATCTTTTGGCATAAAGTTGTTCTCAATAACCTTTTTTAGTGTCTATAGTTATGTCCCTTCTTTCATTCCTAATCATGGTGATTCTTGTTCTCTTCTGATCAGTATTGATAACAGAGTTTTCACAATAACGAATCTCTTAATCTCTTCAGACCACCTCTTGTCTTTTTTTTCTTTATTGCATCTCTGTTTTCTGTTTAATTGATTTCTGCCTTTTTAAAATTTGCTCTTTTCCTGGCTTCTGGAGTTGGAAGTTTAGATCATTCATTTTAAACATTTTCTAATTCCTTTAAAGGTATAAATTTGTTCTATATACTTCTTTAGCTTCATTTCATGAATTTTTATATGTTGTATTTTTATTATTCTTCAGGTCAGATATTTTCTAATTTTCACTTTGATGTCTGAATTATGAGTTACTTAGAAATGTGTTGTTTAACTTTCAAATATTTGGATATTTTCGGTTTAATCTTTTCTTACTGATTTATAGTTAATTCAGTCATGGTCAGAGAATATACATACACAATTTCAATCCGTTGATATTATTGTTTTGCTTATGGTCCAGCCTATGGTCTGTTTTGGTGAATTTTCCATGTGCACTAAAAAAATGTGCATTTTGCAAATTGTTGAATATATAAATGTCAAGTTTGTTACCAGGGTTTTTGAAATCTTTAAAATTTTTTGCCCTTTTTCTATTATTTCCTAAAAGAGATGTGTTAAAATTGCCTATTATTGTTGTTGCTATGTTGTTTTAGGTATAGTAGTGTTTCATGTATTTTCAAGTTATATTTAGTGCATATATCTTTAGGACTGGTATGTTTTCCTGATGAACTGACCCTTTATCATGACATAATTCCCTTATTATCTCTACTTATATTCTTAGTTTTGAATTTTACTTTTTTCTGATATTAATATAGCCATGCCAGGTTTTTTACAGTTATTCTTTGCATGGGATATCTTTTTTCATCCTTTAACTTTCAGTATATCTTTCCTTATATTTAAGATGTATCTGATGTAAACAACATACATTTGAGTCTTGTACTTTTTTTAATCCAGGTGGATGTTTTTAAATTGAAGTGTTAAAAGCATTTACATTTAATATAATTTCTGATATTGTTGATTTTAAGTCTAACATTTTGTTATGTGTTTTCTACTTGTTCCACATTTCTTCATCCTCCGCCCCCCTTCTTTTAGGTTAATGGAGCATTAATCTATTTTTCTTCCCTATTGGCTCGTCTAGCAGTCCTTTTTATATTTTAATATTCTTGGTGGCTACACCAGAGATTATATTATGCATCCTTAATTTATCACAGTCTACCTTGAATTAGTATTATCTTACCTAACAAACAACAAATACTTTACAACAGTATAATTTTTGTTACCTCCTCCTGCCCTTGGTGCTACTATATTTAATTCTACACATTTGACCTAGATGTTGCTGTTATTTTCACATGAAAGAGTCAATAGCATTTTCAAAAAAATTTAGGGATCTATATATACCCACATGTTTAACCTTTCAGGTACTAGGTACTCTTCATTTCTTCTTATACAACTGTGTTTCCATATGAGATCACTTCCCACAGCTTGTAACTTTCTTTAGTATTCCTTACAGTGTGCTACTGATGAAGACAAATTCCTTCACTTTTTTTTTCCTGTTTGAAAAGGTATTTTTTAATCTTCATTTTCATAAGATATGTCTAATTGCACATAGAATTCTAAATTGCCATTTTTTTACTTTTAGCACTTTTTGTATATTTTCTTATGGAATACATTATTTTATTTTATTTTTATTTTTTATTTAAACTCAATTAATTACCATGTACTGTATTATTAGTTTCAGACCTAGTGTTCAGTGATTCATCAGTTCTGTAAAACACCCAGTGCTCATTACATCCTGTGCCCTCCTTAATGTCCATCACCCAGTTACCTCATCTCACCATCCCCCTCCCCTCCAGCAACCCTGTTTGTTTCCTAGGATTAAGAGTCTCTTATGCTTGTCTCCCTCTCTGACTTCATCTTGTTTTATTTTTCCCTCCCTTCCCCTATGCTCCTCTGTTTTGTTTCTTAAATTCCACATATGAATGAAATCATATGATAATTGTCTTTCTCGGATTGACTTATTTCGCTTAGCATTATAACCTCTAATTCCATCCACATCATTGCAAATGGCAAGATTTCATCTTTTTTTTTTAAAGATTTTATTTATTTATTTGACAGAGAGAGAGACAGCGAGAGAGGGAACACAAGCAGGGGCAGAGGGAGAGGGAGAAGCAGACTTCCCGCAGAGCAGGGAGCCCCATGTGGGGCTCGATCCCAGGACCCTGGGATCATGACCTGAGCTGAAGGCAGACGCTTAACTACTGAGCCACCCAGGCACCCCCAAGATTTCATCTTTATGATGGCTAATATTCCATTGTATATGTATACCAGTTTTCTTTATCCATTCATCCATTAATGGATATCTCGGCTCTTTCCATAGTTTGGCTATTGTGGACATTGCTGCTATAAATATTGGGGTGTAGGTGCCCCTTCAGATCACTACCTTTGTATCTTTGGGTTAAATACCTAGTAGTAGTGCAATTGCTGGGTCATAGGGTAGCTCTATTTTCAACTTTTTGAGGAGCTCCAACTGTTTTCTAGAGTGGCTGGACCAGCTTACATACCCATGAGCAGTGTAGGAGGGTTCCCCTTTCTCTGCATCCTCGCCAACATCTATCATTTCATGACTTGTTAAATTTAGCCATTCTGACAGGTGTGAGGTGGTATCTCATTGTGGTTTTGATCTGTATTTCCCTGATGCCAGGTGATGTTGAGCATTGTTTCATGTGTCTGTTAGCCATTTGTATGTCTTTGGAGAAATGTCTGTTCATGTATTCTTCCCGTTCCTTGATTG